AGCATTAAGTGTAGAACCACTAGACTGAGGAACAGCTTCTACCCTGAGGCTGTTAGACTCATGAATCTCTAACTAGAATAATCACTGTGAAAAACCATATCATGTTGCTGCTGATCTGTTTCATGTTGCTGCTGATCTGTTTCAATGTTGATGTGTTCATGCGTGCACATCTGCTCACAGACTCATGTTCATGTTTGTGGTGATGTTCAATGTTTTATGTTATGAGTGCTTAGTGTATATTTAGTTGATGCATTTCTTAGTTCATATCTTAGATGTTATTACTGTTTTTCTTATACATTTTATTGTTGGATGTAACTGGGACCCTGTGTACATAATTTCGCTCCACCACATGTACCACATGAGGTGCGAATGACAATAAAGAAACTCTGACTCTGACTCTGACTCTGAATATTGTAACTATAATTAGTGTGTTATGAAGGTGAAACACATAAAAATCATAAATTGTTTTCTTGACTGAATTTTTATTTATTTATGTTTATGCATATGGAGAGATGGCGAGATGGAGTGTAAAATTATGAGACAGCAGCATTAAGTCTTACCTATTACCTGTTCAAATTCTGTGACAATAGCACCAGAAATGATTATTCTGGACATGTTTTTATGAGAGCATGTCCATGCATGTTTCAAAGTATCAAAATGAAGTCCAACATGTCCAAAAATTGGACACCGACGTCATAAAGCTGTAACTCCTGATTGTGTCAACAGTCATCAGTGAGAGCGCTAATGAAAGGTTCGATCTACAGGAATCATATTCTGCATCCAGATTTACTGTCACAATGCTTAAAATACAGTCAGTTATGAATAAACAGGAAGGAGATGTGCAACAATAAACATAATAAACATATAACTACACATGTCATCCCCCATGACGACACGCAGCTGAAAACACAACAAAAAGAGCATCATTTCCTAATATTTTTCCAAAAGTATTTACTTCTAAACAACATATTTAAAAATAGATTTTATATGTCACTTAACAAGAACTGAATAAGTGCAGTAAGGGACAACTAGTAAAATATCAATCTGCTTATGTTGCACATTTGAAGTGTTCAATATCTATCTATCTATCTATCTATCTATCTATCTATCTATCTATCTAT